TCTGGCTGCTTCTACTAGAGTGCGGTTCCTTCTCTTTACTACTCCATTTTGTTGCGGTGTGTAGGGAGCTGAGAAGTTGTGAGTGATGCCCTTGGACACCAAGAAACTGTTGAGGAGATGATTAGTAAACTCGGTTCCATTATCATTGCGGATGCGTCGTACTGGCAGCTTTATCTGAAGTTCTATTTCCTTGATGAAATTGATGAGAATCTGCGGTGTTTCTGACTTGAGTCTGAGGAAGAAAACCCATGTGAAGCGTGTGAAGTCATCTACTATAACCAGTATGTACTTCTTGTATGGAGACTGGCTACGGTGATGGACCGCAGAGATCAATGTGAAGGAGTTCTAGTGGTTCAGAAATTGAAGAGTGAATCACCATGGGGTGACTTGCTTTGGATTGCTTCCCACATTCACATGCAGGATAGAGAGTATCATTGCTGAACTTGAGAATAGGGAGTCCTCTGACTAGTTCTCCAGTGACCAAATTGTTGATGTATCTAAAGTTGAGATGAGCTAGCTTGCGGTGCCATAGCCAGCTGACTTCGGATACTGCTTTGGATAGGAAACATAACTGCGGTTTGCCTATGATCAGAGAGACATCCAGAGGATACATAGTACCTTCGGATCGAGATTTGATCAAACATGTGTTCCTATCACTTGTCATTACATAGCAAAATTGATCATCAAATTCAACTCGATGGCCTGCCTTACATAGTTGTCCAACACTGATGAGATTGTGTTTAAGGCTTTCTACATAAGCAACCTTCTGAATAGAGAAGTTCCCCGTAGTGAGAACACCATAACCTCGGATGATCCCATTCGCATTGTTGCCAAATGTAACATTTCCACCGTTGCAAATTGGCCTGGAATCCCGAAGGTATTCTAACCTTCCGGTCATGTGCAAGGAGCAGACACTGTCGTTTAACCATTCTTCTTCTTGTTCCTCCTTGCACAAAGCCTGAGAATTACACGGTTAGTTTAGGCATCAAAACTAGTTTGGAGCCTGGGACAACAGATGAGTTTCTGAATGATGCATGGACCGAGGTTGTAGGGACTGGTTTCTTGTCAACTTTTAATCCTAGTCCTGGGTGTTTGTGCAGTTTTGGAGTGTTGTGTGGTTTTGAAAAATTACGAGGTTTTTGACTCCAACGAGATTTGACATAGGATGAATCCTATTGGTAAATACACTGACATTTATAGGTTGAGATTTTGTCTTTTGTTCTGACACCACATTTGGTCAGCGGTCTAAAGGATGAGTTGGGCTTATGACCGGTCCGAGGTTAAAAAGATCTGACATGAGTGTTGTTTGGTTTCTGAAAAGTTTGTTTTGAAAAAGGTTTAGCACGTGTAGATCTTTGTGTCCTTTTTGTTGGATTTGGTAGAATACCCTTCCATTTGTAAAAATTTTGATGTGACTTTAAAAGTGTTGGAGTGGGTAAGATACCTTTCCATTTCGGATCATCTGAGGAATAGATTTGAAAACTATTGTTTCGAAAAGACTTTACACCTTTTTGGGTTGTGTCAGATGAATTAGGAATGACTGTTGAAACTGTACATTACTTTTTGTATGTTTTCTTGATGGGAGAGTTTTTCGAAAAACAGTGTGAGAAAACAAATTTTTCTGGACTTTTGGACTTTGGAAATCTGACATGCTTCTTGTTTTTCGAAAAAGTTTGTCTATTTGTGCCTCGGGAGCGAATTTCCTCTTTGAAAGCCTTTTTTGCTAAAGTTTTTGGGGAACCGCAGTCCTTGATGTTCAACTGCGGTTTCCTGGAATTCTTAGAAATTTTTTGAAAACGTGGGCTTGAGTCATCCGAACTTGAAGACTCAGGGGTCTGAGAGCATTGACCCACTTCAAAGTTCTCTATGGGTAATTCATGATGAATTGGCTGAAGAGTCACAGTTCCTTTTACTGAGGACTGCGGTAGAGATGATTTGACTACCGTAGAGTAAGTCTGAGTTGGGACTTCAGTGGGACTTTTGTGGGACTTTTGACTACAGTGTGAGACACTGCGGTCTGAGGGCAAAGATGGGAAGTCTTTCGAGACTTCGGGGCCCTCAATGACAATTTCTTCATCAACTACAGATGAGGTTTGAGAGTTTGGGTAAATGGTGACACAGATAGGAATTTGATCACATGTGTGACCCGACACCTCAGGCACAATTTCCTCAATGACACAATTATTGCTTAGATTATGAAGTCTACCGAAGTGAGTTTTTGATGTCTTCGGGAAACGTCTTGTCATTGACTGGGAAATGAAATTCTCGGTCTGGAGGGACATACAGTCTGTCTTTGTTGAACCGGGGTGAGGAATCCATTGCGGTAGGATTATCCATTTGACCAACCCCAATTGTATGTATTGTCCACGGTTCCATTATTTACCAATTTTCAATAGCTTCACTTTCATTGAACAATTTTCGATTAAGAGGTTTAAGCGTACAATTTCACTCTGAGCAAAATCTCTCTGGTTCAAAGCTATTTCTAATTGTGTTTCACTCAACATTCTTGCATCTTTCTCTAACTCTAAGTCCTTTTCTAACATAGCCATTTTGAGTCTTTTGTTATCCAGTCGTCCTCTCACATGGAACATCTCTTGGGACGCAATGTTCTTCTCATCTAAGGCTTTGTTATAGTCTGTAAGGACGGCAGCACACGTGTCATTAAGATCATCTATGTAAGGTTGACAGTCATGCATGCTATAGTTTAGAGTTTGGATCATGAGTTTTACCTGTTCGACGATGCTTAGAGTTCCATCCTTTGCCATGTAGCAGTAGTTCTTGTCCAGCTTTGTAGACCCATCATCATCCGCAGTTACCAGCATGCAGATTTTCCCTTTTCCTTTGACACTGCTGATGGCTTCATCTTCGTCTCCGGATGACCAAACTTGATGGTCTCTTTTGACATGGGCGACGTATGCCCTTGCCTTTTCATTATCTTCCAACTCTTGAGCCATTCTAAGGTAGAATGCTCTGTCTTTTACTACACTGGCCTTACAATCTCTTGCAAAATGATTCTCTTTGTTGCATTTGTGGCAAATTACAACATCAGTCTTGTCTTCTGAGGTAGTACCGGAGTCAGTGGTTTGAGTGGACTGCGGTGCTTCCTTCGGTTGAGTATTTTGAGATTGCGGTGGTGGATGAGAACTTTTGGGATATCGAGCATGGTTATTCTGCGGGTTGAAGCTACGAATGAATGGAGGTTTGTTGAACTGTTGATTCTTGCAGAAGGAGGGAGGTGGTAGACGGTTGAACTGTTGGCTAACCAGAGCAATAGCCTTCTGAAATTCTTCTTCATCGTCATACTCTGAGTCAGCTTCGTATGACTGCGGTGGAGTGTCATACGAGGAAGAGTAAGATTGATTATGTGGAGCTTGTGCTATGAGAGCAAGTGGTCCTCCGAAGTCAGCACAGTCTTTGAGTACGGTGGATTCTTATGCTTGCAGTTCTCCATAGAGCTTGTAGAGTGACAAAGAATGAATCTTTCTATCGCCTTGAACTATCATCTTAGCCGTAGTCCAATGTCTTCCCAAACCATTCAGAAACTGAAGATTTGTTTCATGGTTACTGCGGATGGTGCCCGCATTGGATAACTTGGTGACTATCAGGTTGAACCTTTTGAAGGAGTCTTCCAAGCTTTCGCCAGTATGAGCTTTGAAGTTGTTGAACTCATTGAGTGCGGTAGTAAGCTTTTGTCTTGTGCTTGTTCTGAGCCTTCGTACAAATTCTTGAGAACTTCCCAGATCTCTTTTGCTGATTTGCAATTTATGATAATATCGAAGTTGTCAGGAGCAACTCCACAGGAGATTTCATAAAAAGCAACAACATCATTTTCCATTTTATCGAGATCATCCTTGGTGGGACGGTTCATGACTGGTTGACCTCCTCCTATTCTGGTTGTAGCGCCGTCAGTTTGGACTGGTGTAAGAACTGGGACATGTGGTCCTTCTTCTACGGATCGCCATACATCTCTACCAAGTCTCCTTAAGTATCTTTCCATTCTTTGGGACCAGTGATGATACTCATTTGCTACCAGTATTGGGGCTCGATTAGAACCACCAACACTGTTGGAAACATTCAGAGATAACGATTGTGCCATTTTTTTGAAGTTTTTTTTTTAAAAAAAGATGAGCTTCAGTGGTATAGAAGGCCCTTTGAAAATCAGAGTTCCGATTTTCAAAAAGCAACCATTAAGGCTTTGATACCAATTGTTAAGAGAAAAACTTTGAGACACGCTTGAACAAACGTTAGAACAAGTATATTGCGGAATAGTTAATCTCGAAGGATCTAAAAGCTCAACAATAATATTAATAAGTTAGAGTTAGATAGTTAGAGAGTTAGTTGCGGAAAGGTAAAGAAATGAAATGACAACAATTGTTATATCAAGAATACACATAAGTTGATTCATAACAAGGAATGCATTCAAACCAAGTTAATAAGTGAGATCAAACTTAGTGATTAAGTCACAAGAGACTTGCTCCGAAGAGAGATTGTAATCAGTTATGTTCTAGTAAGATTTGAGAGTAAGAAGTGATGCGTAGATAGAGAGAAATAGAGAAAATAACTTCAGAGATGTGTATTCAGATTCATTGATTGATTCTTTCTTTTTATAAACAATGAGAATGAGCTCTATTTATAGAGACTCAAGAAGTTACATTGAATCACTCTCTAAGAGTAGCCATGCAAGGCATACTGGACAATAGAGAGTATTACAGAAAGACAAATAAACTAAGTAAAGTAGAATGACTGCTGTTGGCTTTGATGACTTCAGATGCTGAAGAGGGAGCTTGACTGCGGTAGCTGAAGTTCAAGAGGGTCACTTTTCATGATTCAACACTTATCCCAAAGCCCAATAATTTCCTTAGTCCATACATATGTTCCCAACTGGCCCACAAAGGCCCACATCAGCTTAGTCCAATAAGTAGCCCAATAAGAACCCAAACCCCAATTAGGGTTTTTCACATGAAATGACGATTAGGGGATAAGTGTTCTTTCTTAACCCATTAAGGACTTAATCCATTAAGTCCAAACATACAATGAAATCGGGCTTGAGTCATATCTTCACTCCAATGGTCCAAAATGTGGGTCCTGATAAGTCCAAACCAATAATACAAAAATTAGGGTTTTCTAAACTCTAATTAGGGTTTCTAACCCATTACAATGCAATTAGGCCCAAAATCTAAGTCCTTAGGCCCATTAGGGTTTCGCTAATTGGGCACCACCCACTACCACCTCGGGTAGTGGTGGTCAACGACGGCACACAGCGGCTCACGGCGGCGGCCACCACCTCACGGTGGTGGTTACGGGTTTTCTTTTCATTATTTTGCATCGGTTACAATATTACAAAGCAAAACCCGAATAACACACACACTAATACAAACACCCACACACAGCCACCCTAGTGGTGGCCGTCGGTGGCACATGGCAGCCACCACCTCACGGTTGTGGTGGTGCCCTTTTTCTCGATTTTCCGGCCAATACAACACCAAAGGTACTCCAAGTATTAATCCAAACGCACCCGAAAGCCCACAGCCACCCGAGATCATGGTTAACAATGGCGGAGCGACGATAGCAGGTGGTGGAACGGCGGCAGCAGGTGGCGGTGATGAGTCCCTTCCGTTTCCTGGCTAAAGAAGGATTTACACAGCGTTATCTTTCCGAATTCGGTCATACCCACCACAAATCACGCACACAGCCACCACCGCATGGTGTCTGGTGGCGGCAGAAAGAGACAACAACTCCCAACCACCGACTAGGTGGCTGAGGAGGCTAGAACAAACAGAAACGGCGGCCATAAGGCCACCGGTGGTCACAATCGTTGCTCCTGACTTCTATCCACCGTGAAAAGTAAAAGAGAGGAGAGAAACGGTGGCAGAAAGCCTTACCCGGAGATTTCCGATCACTCACGACCACACAACAGCGAACAAGATCCGTTCGTCGGCCTCCGGCGGCCGTGCGAGCTACACACCATGTCTCCGGTAGCAGCACAGTGGCGGCGACATCCAATGGCGAGGCAGCGACCATGCTTGACGATCTCGGCGGCCCACGAGTTCACCCTCATCGTGGCGCTCTTCCTTGCTGTCGGCTGAAATGCCGACGATTGGCTTGGGTCGGCGACATCGGTGGGCTAAGATGCTGCGGTGACTGCCAGAGGTGTTGCGCCGGTGAGGGAGGCATAAGGGTGGGTGGCGGCTGGAGGATATGGAATGGTAAGGTGGCGGCTGGGAATAGTTCATTAGGGTTAGGGTTTTACGTGAGTCATGTTGCATTTATAATTGGGTAAAGGTGAGGGGGGTGTGGGGTTATCCCGTGTCCATATTCAACTTTGCACATTTAAAAAGTCTAGTCCCTCCCCATAAAGTCTTTTCGAAATAAGTCTATAAGTTACCATTCAACCCCCTTATCCTCCAAAATCTATTCAATTAAAGTCCTAATAATTACCATGCAGTCCTTGTCTTTATAAATTCTTTCATATTAAACCCATAATTTACTAAATAGCCCTCAACCTTCATAATTACTTACAACTAATCCATAATTTACGTTTTAACCCCAAATATTCAAAAGTTATGACTTTTAACTCCTCGAAACCAACACATTGCCAAAATATTATGGATTTAGAGCTACAATAAAATACGTTATACATCTCGGGGTTTTCAAATTTATTATTTAATTACTCATTTTATTTAACTTCAAACGGAGTGTTACACATTAGAACCTAACATATATATATATATATATTATATATATATATATATATATATATATATATATTATATATATATATATATATATATATAGACACACACACACACACTCAAGTTTGAACAAGTACAACTATGTAATCAAGCATACTAGAATGAATATGGACCAATTATTTATCTTAAATATATAAATAAGAAATAAAATAATTAATTAAATCAAAAGGGAAAATAAGTAATTATCATTATTAATTAAATAATAACAATAGAATTTAACTTCCTAAAATCATGACCGATTTTCTCTTATCTTCAAGTTTATCATTCATCAACAATACCAGATCATCAGCATCATTGCATCATCATCGATCATCATATCTTACTCAACTAACTTTTTTTGTGAATCATCATATCTTCTTCTTCGTTAATTAATTTTGTTTCAAAATCTCAATTATTAGACATCATGTATCACTTCTACTTCAAAGTTGAAGAATAAAAACTTCAAAAGTTAAGAGTGGACAATAAATATGGAACAGAGGGAATATGTCAGATTATATGTCATTCACATATGAATAATATAACCTATATATTTAGTTATATATGTTATTGAAGGTATATTCTGTAGCACCCAATTTATGATGGTGATTTTCCATTCTTTAATTGGGGGTTTAATAGTCCAAGTTTTAGTAGAAGGTTGGGGTGAAGCAAGAAGCCATTAATCGAAATTGTTGAATGCGACATCCCCTATTTTTCAAAACAGAAAAATTTTTCTATGCATTTAAAATTCATAATATCTTTGTTTGCAGAGAATGCTAGTATATTAAAACATTTTGAGTACAATTACTTGTTTCAAAATATAAAAACTCTAAGAATGTCATAATTGATATACAACATAAGTACATCGTAAAAGACCTAACAGTCATGATCACTATTTCAGATCTTCTCTTTAATCACTCAACATCTTATTCAAGTCTCCAGCAGTCTTAACACCACTACTTGTGATGCCTATAAATTGAGTGGGTCAGGTTGGGAAGCCCAGTGAGATACATACGGTTTTCAATACCATAATGTTATTATGATAATATTCCATAATCAATAAACCTGCAAAATCAACTGTTACCACAAACTATAATCCAACGAGGACATCTATAAACCAATGTACCCATGCAGACCCCGCCCAGTCGGTCCTCACGAATCCTAATCAACGATCATCTGGAAGAATCACATTACCTGACAAATCATTTAAAGCAACTGTTGGACTACACAACTAGGGGCTTTACTTGGCTGATGTACGTCATAAAAGGAAACCATGGAGTACTCGAATGAACAAACAATCCATACTCCCAGATCGTATGATTCATTAACACCTACATGTAATGAGCCTACTAGTGTTCCACCAGACTGTCTAGAATGGTCGGTCGCCTTCGTCACCTTACTCCGGTAGATGAATCATATGGAACCTGCATCTGGGCCCATGATAGTAACATGGAAACAAAACTCTCCTCTCCATTTTAATATCACTCACACCTGAAACGTGACTATTTAATATCAAACTAATCAGGTAAACTCTAGTTTGTAACCCATACCATAGCACATGATAACGCCATAGAATTAGAGCTATACTCTTTGTTTCAGTCTTACATACATCCCTTGTATGATTACTATACATTTACTCAACTTACTTTGAACTAAGCATCCTTCATATGTCTTAGTTTGGAAACCATACTACATTATAATCCCTTCCAATACCAATCTTGTTTAGGCAACACTATCCTAATTTAGTGTATATTTTTTAACATAGAGTATTAGGTATTTAATATACATTAATATTTTTAGTAATAATACTTTTATTAAGATTATCATGTAATAATATCATATATACACCTTAACACATATATAACCATATCTGGTTCGCACAGTGTATGTCATAAAATATACATTTAACATATAGTCCAGATAATAATCATTTAATTCATATATAAAATTTTAACAAATATTTAATATTTTTTAATAAATACTTGTATTAAAATCATGTTCATAAAAGTAACTTTGCACTCACCTGACTGAGGTGAAAGACTCGAGGAAAAGTTAGATCCTTCACCGAAGCTTTAGTTTTCCATTTTAAATTACCTAAATACGAATATTAATAAGCCTTAATATTTGTTCGTATTTATAAAACTATATTTAATCGTTACTAGATTCGTAATGTTTTCTCAAATTGGTCAATAATACCAAAAGAATACCGACTTATAGCTGATAAGTAATGACCAAGTAAGATCATATTGGAGGTAAGATCCGTTTGGTATATAGAGATACACTGTTTAGGATCCGTTTGGTATATAGACATACACTATTTGAAAAATTCACTTTAAACACCTCACAAATCTTGCCTAGACATCACTCCCGTAAGTAGATCGATCAGTATAACAACTGGTATTATAGATAAACCTTATTTATAAGTTCATAATAACATTTACAAACATAAATATAAGTTATACTTAAAGTAAGATAAACATAACTCAACTTACAAGTTGTTTAACGAAAAAAGTAGAAACTGAACGGGAAAAACTTCGAAACCTAAAAAATCCTTTTAATCGGGCTCACTTACACCTCAGAGCCTCGCTAAAGTAGTCGGAAACTCGGGAGAATCGGGCTAGGAATGTAGGAGAGTTTCTAGAGGATTTGGGTTGAAAAAGTTATGAGAAATGAGCACTCCTCAATTTCTACTGATAGGTTGCCAGGGGAGGCCACGCTTAATATAGGGATAGTGCTACACTCGGCGTAGTGGTGTTGGGATCAAAATTGAACCTAGTGCTGACACGTAGCACCAGATGCGTGTAAAACCTCAGATCTTCAAAATTTCATATCTTCTGCATACGGACTCCATTTTCAATGTTCTTTGTATCCCCGCTTTCCTATCGACAAGTATTACAATTGTCATTTAGTATTGTTGGCTAATGCACATTGTATTCCTAATTTTACAGCCGATAATTAGTATAATGTAAAATAATGCTGCGAAATTCATAACTTGTTCATATGAACTCTGTTTTTGACGTTCTTTATATCGCCGATTTAATATCGAAGAGTACTACAACTTTCCTTTAAACTCTTTTGTTCAACGAGAAATCGAGTTTCATTTTGGTTTCTGTGTCGCACACTGTTGTACTGTGTTGCACTCGAAACTTCGAAAAATCATAACTTCCTCATACAACGTCAGATTTTTGGCATTCTTTATACCGACGAAATCGTCATCACGACTACTACAACCTTCATTTAGATCATGTTGGAAAATAAGAAACTTATCTCCAATCCATATTTTATGACACACTTTGTTGTGCAAGGTTGAACGCAAAAATTTTAAAAAATTATAACCTCCTCATACGAAGTCAGATTTAAGCGTTCTTTATATCCACATGCTCGTGATTACGATCTCTACAAATTTCGTTTAGATTATTTATCCTAAATGATCTTTTATATTTACATTTTATGTTATCGCTTAACAATAAAATTTTATATTAAGGTTTTCTACAAATATTAAATAATCTTAATATTTGTTCAAATAACGTGTATACGATAAATATTTATTAGTAACTCATACAAAGAACAATTACTCTATTCAACGATTTTAGTTGTTCGATAAAATGTATAATTATTATTATATATTAAATGTCTAGACCGAAGTTTTGGACGTTACATTGAAAACTGAATACTGAGGATTTAGCATAAACGCAACACACCTAGGCTCGATGGTCTTTTATCGGTAAATGAGCCTATTTAAGAAGAATTAAACACTAGAGTTCGTCATTTTTAGCCTCCACAGCCTCGAGAACATCCTTTGAGAGAAACACTAGCCTCCTTTAAGTGTTGTGAGCTCAACCTTAAACCTATTTTGATGCTATTTTGGTGATGTTTTGTGCTCTAGAGTGAAGAAGACAAGAAAGATTGGTCATTGAAGCTTTGCAACTGAAGTATTTAGCCCTCATATCACTTTTGAACCTTTGTATGTCACAAAGATCCTTGATTTTTGGTGTTCGATATTTAGATCTAAGAGTATTTGAGGTGTTGGTTCCTTTATGCATTAGTCTTTGGAGTTTGGAGAACTTCATGAGCTTTGTACCATATAAATGTGTATCGCCCGTAGATCCGAGCTAGTCAATTTAGAGACAATGAGCATCAAAAATGAGTTTTTGATGGAATATTATTTAGAAGGAGTAATCTTAACCAAGTTGTTAGAATATGTCACAAGGGTTCCGTACATATTAAAGAATGCCGAAATCCGAGTTATAACGAAGAAGTTATGGTCCGTCGAAGTTTCGCGACAAAACCGACACGACACCACGGGACGTAAATACTGAATTTAAGATAGAGGACTTTTTGGCCTTAGTGATCTAAACAAAAGTTGTAGTATACGTTAAACCGAGAGCGTGCATAAAAAGAACGCCCAAATCTGACTTCGTATGAGGAAGTTATGATTTTTCTAAGATTTGGCCTAGCAGTGCACGGCCCGAAATTCAAATTTTAGATCGAGCGTTTTTTTGCCAACGCGACCTAAATAAGAATTGAAGATC